GGGGGGGGAGGGGGGTAGGGGGGTTACTATTTTACTATTTACTAAAATGATACCCTCTGTTTCCAAATCTGTGCTTCAAAATACCTTGGCTTTAAAAAACACCCTATATAAATGTGAAGCAAAACGAAAACTTGTAAAAGAGAGAAAATCGTGATATTTTAGTATTGGATACCTATTATCTGTACAAATGTTCACGATATTGAAATAAAACGTGTCGTTGTACTTGAAACGCAAATACTTGAATTAACACGAGATTTATTTTCAAATGGTCTAATACTTACACATAAAGCACAAAGCTGCAGAAATATGTGATAAATACTTGATTTAAACACCAACGTTTTGAACAGTTTTCGTTTAGGATCGTTTACCAATATAAAAAAAAAACTGTGAGTGTAAAGGTATGTTACTTTTATCGAACAATAAGATCCAGCTTAGATACATAGACTATATAAAACAACCATTATAATAATTTGTGTCATGATGTTAACTTTTTAAAACAGCATTTTAAATGATAAAAAATAGGTTTACTTAACAGTAATTCATATTATTTCTGATATTTTTTTATTTTCTATTCAGTTCTAAATGATTTGTAATTGCCACATTTGGTGCAATTATTATATATTGACATACGAGTTTTGTACACAACAAACAATATGCAATTGTCAAATATTTTTTTTTGTCTAAATATAGAATCGGAGAAAAATGAATTAGCTATATATGATGTAATAGCAAACGCAAAGTTTGTCAAAAATTAGCTTTTTGCAACTTGTGTTTCTTTTTCGTGTGCAATATAGAAAACTGATAAATGAAGCATGACAGTATTGCCAAAATACTTTTAACGGTTTTGTTGACACACGAATATTTTGTTGTTGTTTTTAATCAACCAATTACTGGATTTACATATGAAATCATTATTTCAGAACCAAAAGGAAAAAGTCAAAACATCTACAATCTGACAACGCAATGCATTACCAGAGTAGGTATAATTTATATTGCGTTCATAAAACGAACTCTATAATAATAATGTATGGAGATCGGAAAGATTCTGTATCACTAATGATGATGGCGCAATTCAAATCAATACTAATTAATGCGTGCGTTATTTACATGTATCTTTTAGCACATACGTTCATTAATCACATAATGTACTGTGTTATCCAGTGAATATACACATGTCATATTTTTTTGCGTATTTACCCATGTAATATGAACTATCAGTCCTGCGATTGGTTGTAAGTTTCAATTGTTTCAATTGTGACGTCACGCCTAGGATAAGTACATGACGTCACAGACTTACGCACTGGAATCAAAATGGCGGCTTTTTGCATTTCAAGGTTGCATGAAAATTGTCGTTTTACACGAGTAAATGGCACACATTTTGTGTGCTAAAAAGGATCTTACACTCGTTTTTATTTCATATGAAATATATAAAACTCGTCACGAATATTTCATTTTAGCTTGCCAAATTGAAACATTCTTAGACTCGTTTCATAAATCTCATATGAAATGGAATCTCATGTAGGATCCTATATATCTGTGCCGCATATTTTAATGTTTAAACACGAGTCAATTTATGATAATCTTGTTATGTTTTACTTGTAGATACGGTGAATGTCAATGAAAACTACGACATTCTTGACACATCTAAAGTTGAACATACTCACAACATTTATGACACCGGGGCCAAGTAGTGTGGCTAAAACGGCAAAGAGATAATATTTACAGACATATAATTGATCAGCTACTTTCTACGTGTGTGATATATGTGAGAACAACTGACGCATTCAAACGTGATAATTTAGGTCACATCAAGCATGCGTTGTACATAAATATTGGTTAACTTATAATACTAGCATAATACATATAATATATGACTCGGGAACAATTCTGTCGTCCACAACACTTCTGTATTGATCAGGAATAAGTCGACTTAACAAAACTACGCCATTCATCTAAGACATACATCTGAAGAAAAAAATCCTATCTACAAGAAACAGCGCTAAACCTTTGCACTGGGAATTCAAGAAATCTCCTAACTGCGGCGAGATCATACAACTTCAGTAACATGAGATACATAAATACATGTATGTAATGTTGTTCAGTGTTAATTTTAATATACTGATGAAATAAAGCAAATATCAGAACATCCGGCGATTACCTTCGGCTACAAAATATCTTTTAAGTTAATGTGGATAGTGATATAGTGATGTAGTGATGACGAAGTGCCATGACCTTCTCGAAAACATTCATAAAAATATATTGAAATAGCAAATAAACACCGTGTTTTGAGATAGAGGTCAAAATGTACGAAGTAACAGGAGCAACATAAAACAATGTTGTTAACTATTATAATTCAGTTAGATGATATTTAATTTGCGTTTGTATTAATTGTCGATAAAAGTTGCATATCAAAGAATTACTTAAGTGTCGCATATGCAAAAACTTGTTTGTTCGTTTGAGTGGTTTTACGTCCGCGTTTCATTACCGAGTAGTTTGGTTATTCGGAAGACGAACAACACAAAAACAACAAATAGCTTTATGTTTATTATAAACTTGTTATTAAATTTGTACTCTAATACTGACAAATACTCGTCGAAAACGTTATATCGAAACCATACAAACCTATGGAGGATATGTAACTGCTAACTAGCATATATATTTTGGGAGCGAGTGAATATACCGTGGATTTCCGGTTATTTGTTAAACATCAGACATGAGTGATCTGATGTTCTTATGAATGAAAACAAAATCAGTAAGAAAAAATTTGCCTAATAATGAAGAAATGAAGTTTATATTATGACACAGTAGAAATACGTTCCTCTATGGTTTTTTTTATCCCACGTCATGACCAAACTACTTAAAAGAAAAAATCGCGAGTGAGGACATTGTTACGAAAGTAGTCCGTGTTATGTTGAATACATTTGTAAAGTGAACGTTTACGTAATTAACACACACACTGTACATGTTAATATCAGTTAAGGTTGTCCACCGACTACTGACGGATAAACTTATTACACATGGTTTCCAAAGGTGCATGTTGATGAAGATTATGGACAAGTTTTGTGGTGGCATTCAGACTTCGCAAGGGAAATAACTCTTTCTTTGTGAGATTTAAAGGTCATAGGAGTGCATCGTGGTTTTGTTGTTACTACCCGAGTTATCGATGTCAGGACGTGGTATCAACTGGATTCGACTTAGATTTATATGACGGACCTCGGCGATAAAGCAGAAAACACTTACTCTTCCGGAACCACTGGTCTTATTCTCTTTGTACTTTTTCAAGTACCTTGTAAATATTTCATTTGATAGTAGGTTGCCCTAGTTTCAATGATTTTGAGTTCGCATTATGATTTTGTTAACACTTCGAAATTATCTTATTGTTGTTTCTCTACCGTCGTATGATTTTATGTCTATTTCGCTGGTTTAATAAAATAAGCAATAACAGCTTTAATTGTTCAGAACGAGAAAAAAAAGTAACCATAACTGTCATCTGGGACCTATCAGGAATTATTTTGTTAAATATTTGGAATTCAGCATTGTTTTGATTATGCAATGCGTGGAGAATTAGAAAAAAATAACGCACCACTGCGTTAACAGTGTTAAATAGAAAATTAATCCCAAATATTGTACAAATATACTTCGTAAAGAATTATTTGTTATCGTAGTACCACTGATGGGACCTAAATGATCGAAATAAACACATATATTGTACAGTAAATGAATGTTTATTTGTTTGCAACAATAAATTTAATGTTTTGATAAGTGTTTCTTACTTCGTATTCCTTGTGATTTTTTACGTTGCAATAGTACAAGGGTATGTTCCAGGTCTCTGCTGCTAGACAATTATTATCTGAGGTTCGCCGAAACATTGTACCTGGAATTTCTTGGAATTTGTTCTTGCACGGTTTGCATGATGGTGAGAAAATGAACTATCGATTGCAGCCTTAAGTCGTTCATTTCAAACATCATAGTTGGTAACACATTGCAATCCATTCTTTTGACCTTTACTACATCTGATGAGTTTTAAATGGACGAGATAACCATATTGTGTAGTTAAGTTGCTGACCTTGTTTGGATTTGATAAAAAATAAACTTTCAAGCACCCCTGGTGTATTGAACATCTAATATGTTACTATAAGCTTCCGTTTAATGCTAATATTGATTATAACGAAAACAATGTTACAATAAAAAGACGTGATCAAACAGTTGTGATTGGAAGGTATGATATCGACGTATCGTGCACGTGAACCATACCTCAAAAGCATTACCCAAAATTGAGTATGCCCGCGTTTCAAATGTGGGTATTGAAGTCCGGTGTTTTTAAAAGCATATCCACTACAAGTAAACATCATACGAAGGCGAATATCATGGACACAAAGCTGGCAAATAATCGGCATGTACTCAACAGGAATGTCATTCAAAGCTGCTGTACGTCTGAAACGCTAACACAATACAGGAATCAGCCGACTGGTCAGTCAACCAACTCTAAAATACATTCCAATATACGACAGACCCCTATAACGACGCAGCGTAAACACAATGCACTGCATCGCTTGGTTAGACGGATGACATTCGCAACAAGCCTCGTTATTAAACGGATAGGAGGCGTCGAGTTTGTCGTGGGATGGAAGTGTGGTGCGATTGAAAACAGACAAAAGAAATAAAGTTCACATATTTATTAACTCCAGCAAGTAAAGTTCAACGGTAAACGATGCACGGCTCACAACACGTTCATTTCTCTTCCGTAATCCTCTAACGTTAGTGCTGGCAAATTCGCCATGCATCCAAATTCACCATCCTGTGACGAAAATGCCATATGACGCCATAACACATAAATTTGACGTGAATACATACAGAATCTTAAATATTTGTGTATAATCAGTCTGTGCGACGGACATCTGGTCATCTAAACTCATTAAACTAAGACCTATTGGTTGTGAGTGTAAATGTATTACATACAAAATAAAAAATACCCGTATATCAACGATAATTGCAGTTATATGGTCAACTGAGCCGTCAATGCAAGTAATTTTTTTTTTACTAGTGCACTTTGGTAAATACAATGTTCAGACGATCATATGCTTGTTTATGGAAATTACACTGACTCTCGGTTCGATAACTAAGCGGTGGGGGGAGGGGGGGGGTCGACCTTTGGAAGCACTGGACCCTCTCATCCGGACCCGATGAAAAATATAACTCTGAGCACCGATTTGGAAGTTTATATTTTTTCAGGACTGAGTCTTTATTGCGATGCATGTACATTCACCTCATCTCAGCCGATCCAAGCCATCTTACTCAAACAGCCATAATCAGTTTATTCAAGTTACCGAAAATTAAGTATCACAGCTTAAAAATCATTTATTTCAGTGTCAATCACTGTTACACACACGCATTTGGAGATGTTAGCATCAGTACGACTTGTGTAACATAAAACTACAAAATTGTACAATTAAACACTGACATTACTTGCAAATACGTGAAATGTTTGAAGGTGACGAAACTGCCTGCACATTTGATCAAAACCACTGAATGCCTTATGACGACACATAAATGTTGGTGCGTAACGTCATTCAGGCGTTTTTATAACAATGTTTATATATAAGAACTTCTGTCAATCTTCTGCTGTACTAGTGCTCGTCGGCATTTCGGTACACGCGAATTTGGACGAATAATTAACTGAAACCTTTATTAATGTGACGAATTTGCCTGTACTAACGTTATAGTTCTTTCACACAACATCCACTTTCAGTCTCCATTCTAACTAATCTACGAATAACAATAAAACTCTAAAACTAACAAAACTACATGTGTACAACTTCTCTAAAACTACATAAACATTACTCTGGCGATTCTCAAGTGCGCACTTTCCGTTATATATGACCCCAGTATTTATAGGTGCTAAAATTAGATTACACGAGCATTGGTCAAAGTAATGACACGTGGACATTATTGATTTATTCGAAGCCTTGACCAGTACTTTAAGAAGTTACATAATTTATCCACGGCAATACCTTGGCCTCGTTTTATATTTAGCACTTTCCAAATATAAATCAATACTACTACTGTACGTGTTCTACCGTTCTCAAATTCGATCAATTGTCAATAAAAAAACACCAAAAAACCCCAAGGGGTTGCTTAATCTTTTTCAGTGTGTATTTATTGACTTACAAGTTGATTAAGATATTTGTTTTCCTACTTCGCATTCGTGTTATTATCTCATGTACATATTACCCTTTATAAATGTACAAGTACACTGTACATATGTTTGTTTTCCTCATACTTTTATGTAACATGTTATGTTTGCATGTTTATCAAAAAGATGTCTGGTTTCCATTTGCTAAGACACGAATGATATAGTTTCAACTGTAGAAATCCAATCTTTGAAATTTCTCACCACTTTAACTAGAAAAGGGATTTGTCATACGTGTTCAAAATGACCTAACGATAGCCACCTTACGATATCCTCTTTTTCAAGAAGTATAAGATAAGTGCTACAGTATTTGCTGATATAACCTCTTATCAGCAGACAACGTTTACCGAGGAAATTGTTCAGTTATCTTATAATTTTCTAAGTAAAACGCATTACTCATCTAGTGGGTGTGATCACACTTTAAGATAGGCACTTTTACATGTAAAGCAAAGCATGATATTGAATTAGTTTTTTTCCATACATGTAGTTCAAAATAAAGCTTTCTAAAACCTTTGATTCATTCACAGAGCTTAGGACAGAGTTTTCAAATGTACTTAGGTCTTTTTTTTGAGTAATTGACACTGTTAATTGTTTTCAAAGTGAGCAGAATGATTTGATTACATTTCCGTGAAAGTGTTGATTACTCTATATAGCTTATCATTTTATACCTGATTGTTTAAAGTCGATCAAGGACGTTTCTCACATGCCCCGTCGGGAAACGCACGAGGTTTCTGGTTTTGAATGAAGTAATTTCCTCGTTACGTATAACACTTGTTTTGCTCCAGGTTCCTCATGTTGTGCTTACCAATCTGTACCATTTATCTAACATAATTGTTCCTTATTGAGATAAGTTTTATGTCATCTGAATCAAAGTCTAAGTCTTATGTATACTACTGCAAACACCTCCTGAACATCGCCGTGATTCGTCCTTCATGCGCCCATTAACAAATTCTATTTTCGTCGTTTTTCTCAAAACCAGTGTCAATTTTAACAGACTTTTGTAAGTTGCTTTCAATGATTACTCCCTATGAGTAAATGAATAGTTTTCAAGATTAATGAAGCACTGTTTAACGCATTTAAAGAAATAATGTTCACGTTTAAACGAGGTAGCTATCATGTTAGATAATGGAAGCATTTTAACGAGATCTTTATCCAGATTGATATCGCTAGGCCTCCGTACTATTGTTTTATCAAATCTAATCTTTCAGTATTTTTTATGTCCCTAGAATAAGATATCAACGTACGAATACCTGTTTTATGAGACAAACATTTACTTGTTGCTTTATATTTGTAGTATATCTATCTATTTCATTTACTTTACAATACAAATATATTTGACGCCAAAATGCAGCTTGATGATAGTGTGAGGTTTTTTTTTTTTTTTTTTTTTAACACTACACATTATCCTTTTCTCGTATTGATTTTAAACACATATAACTTATTGGTTTTACTATCGTGTCACACACGCTTTGGCACCCACAGTTATCTAAATGTGATAAAGTGTAGTGTGTATGTCGTATATCACTACCCTAATACACATTTACAAGATCGTTCTCTTATCTCCTTCTGTAAACTTCCTGGTGTCGATACGGGTGGAGCTGGACGAGAGCAACGCATTTTTGCATTCTTTACCTTCATCATGACGTCTGGCAGGACTAAACGTGAGATCCTACAACTTATTGTCATAGGATGTTTTGCTGGTTTTCCTAATTTTGTTTATTCGTCATGTAAGTAATATTTCATTCATATTGGCTATAATCACAACGAACCATAGAAGTAATTTGAAGTATACTATATCAGTATTTAGAAATATCCTTATAATTATCCAGTTTTAATTTAGATGATAATACTTCGTGTTTAAATATCACTCTTTCACGGATTAATGACAACTACAGTGTAACAAGATAGATACCGAGCCAGATTTCATATCGTACATATAATTGCTATATATGTCTAGTCAGGACGTTAGCCACAGCTTTCATACATATGATGTGTAGAAGGTAGTTCGTGTTTGACAACAGAGATAACATTTTTGAGAGATCAACCCTTTAAATCCAGCTAAGTGTTATGTATATCAATAGTGAAAGGAGACACTCATATGTCTGTGAGATATTTTATAATGGTATATTCACACATGTGTTTGGCAATGGCAAACTCTCTCAAATGATCTTTAGCAAACAGACCATCTACTTTGTATCACCTAAAGTTGTATATGGGCCTTCTTCATAAACTCTAAACATAATTTACTAACAATTTGTAGTACGTGACAATTGTAGCTTACACTATGAAAAATAGGTAATCAACAACCTTGTTTTTGAGGACATTGTTTTTGTTTTCTTTGTTTACTTAAAGTATAAATTTGATGAGCAAGATTCATTCAAAAGCACTATTTAAATATTATTACGAAATGCATGCATACTGCTTTCATTCTGGTAGATAACATTGCACAAGGAAAGCGAGCGTCACAGAGTTCTGTCTACGGCGTGTGGGGAGCTGACAAAGCAGTAGATGGTGTGATAGGAAAAGATGTTGGAGGATGAAGTTGTAGTAGCACGAACCCAACAGGATCATCGACGGCATGGTGGATTGTTGACCTTCAACAAATGTCGAGGATAAAAACTATAAATATCACGTACAGACAGGATTGTAAGTAATGGTATTTGCTAAACACACTAGTGTATTTATTGTGGGAGAGTATATGAGTATAAAGCAGATGAGAAAATGTTGCAAAAAAAGCGCAAAAACAAAATGTTTTTTTCTTAATAAACTCACCCAGACAAAACCGAACTTGAATTTTTTTAATTTTTTTTTATACATATTACATCTATATATATCGCTCAACCCACACATACAATTTTTGAACCTTCTGCCACCTTAATATCAAACCAGCAGGCCCCGAGGCATTCACCTTCCTATTAAATCTTCTGCCCAAAAGGGAAAAACCCACAATCTATTTTTGATTTGATTCCGTGGTCCCTCTACTAATTTAAATCAGTGATATATATTAAACTATGTTACTCAAAAAGCATTTGATCAAATGTCTTCTTCATTTAAATTTGTAAAATATTTCAAATAAACGTTTATGACCGACACAATAACCCAAGTTGCGTATTAAATTTGTCTGTTGCTAACACGGTGCTGAAAATGGAGGGATATTCTTACCATTGTAGGTACAATGTTTGTAGATTTACGTGCTTAAATGGAAGTATGTAAGTAGCAGTTAACTGTTTTGAATTATCCGAAAACCTTAACGACAATCGTAATTGTATATTCATTAGAGTATTTTTCATATCAAAGTACAGTTTTAAATAGATCTTTAAGTATGTACTGAAAAGTAACGTGTTACGATGTGGCATAGCTATTAAATAATGAAACATGGCGTTACAAAGACTTCATGTTTTAAGAACTCTTAAAAAATACAATCAACATGTCTTTCGTATAACTTCAAGTAGTGTTATACATTTTTTCTGGTTAAATGTTTGTTTGTTTGTCCGAGTGTAATGGCCCATCGACAACTTGTGTTGATTTGTTATGGCGCAACCATCGTAAATCTAATGAAATAACAAACAGAATAATCTTTGAAAGTTAAGATAGTATAAAGGGGGAAAATAGGAAAGTAAAGTTAACAATATCGTGTAAAGAATGAAATAGGAAAATGTATTGATAAATGCCGAAAAAACCCGTCATATAGGTTAAATTAATGGCGTAACAGTTAATAAGACAGACCAATGTCTTTTATATAGTTTGAAAATGCCTCCAAGTCTACGGAGGTGAAAAAGGTTTTTCTTGTCCGTTTAAGTATTTTCACGAATGTACCAAAAACGATAAACTCAAACCTGTCTTCAACATATTCTGAAATTTAAGTAGTAGCATTTATTTATATATTCGTTTCATTTTGTTTCTTAACAATAGAAATTGCAGCAATAAATATAAAAGGATTCACTATTTCATAAAAAAACCTCTATTCCAGATCCCTTTCGCCTTTCTGGATTTTATCTTTATGTTTCCAACATGACCGTTTTGGACAGTCTTCGAAGTACATGGCATCTATGTTTTCATGACGACACAAAGGATCCAGAACTTCCATCATTCAACCAATCTCGTTGTTGTCCTGTTGACGGACGATATGTCATATTCTACAACATGCGTCCCGCTGATAATGGGCCTAAGTCTTATCGATACTACTCGACAACAAACGCTGTGTTGGAATTATGTGAGGTGCAGGTTTTTGGTAAATATAAATGTTCGCTATAATCTTAATAACCTTATTTCAGTTACTAAACATTAAATCGAACACAAGTCACCTCACATTTTAATGTCATATGACTATATATGGTACATTGTACATGCCTCTCTTTCATTATTTCAGAAGGAAAATATTAGGACATTTTATGTTTTCAAATCCTAATGATTATTGGATGACAATATTACGAAATATTTTTACTTTATTATTATGCTGTGAATTAATAGTGACCTGAACAATGAGCCGTGTATATCCTTCCATTAGGATGTCCGGTAAATCGTTTTGGATCTACCTGTTCGGGAATATGTCACTGTGGTGTGGGTGGATGTGATCCTGATACCGGACTATGTGACGTCACTGGATGTCAGAGTGGATGGATGGGACCACACTGCTCTGAAGGTAAAATGACTTAGATATGTCTACATATACAATATAACACTTAATGTATATGTCACGTCGGTTTATCAACATACGTTGCTAATTTGGAAATTTCATTTAGTTTCGAATGTGCAATTTTGTACATGTACTGTACCTGTGTGATTACTAGTTCTGAAAATGAGTTAGTTCTAATATTAGTAGGTGGGTTTTTTTCAGAATGTGGAAGTGGCAAATTTGGCATGAACTGTAACCACACGTGTCATTGTTCACAACCCGGATGTGATAGAGAAAATGGTAGCTGCGCCGTGCCAGGATGTGAAGCAGGATGGCAAGGGAGAGCTTATGATACGAGTACTAATTTAATTGCCTTGTTTTATTACATTTCATATATGTGATTCTCTATTTTGATTAACATATCTACATTATTATAAAACATCAATAGTTTGCGTTTGATTTCACCTACTCTTAAACATAAGATTCGTGTTAGTCAAGAAATGTTACAGCAGATTCCTACACTACAAGTGAATGATCTAAATGAGAGCAATATATCTGAAATAGAACTTTTAGACAATTTATATTGGTGACAGTTTATTTGTGCTGTTTCCATAATAATTTGTTCTCAATGATTTAAAGGCATTTTGTTCACAATTCCATGCCGGTATGAACGCAAGCCGGTTACGTTACAAACATATTTAACATGAAGCCTCATTTTATTACGTTCATAATATGTATTACCTGAGTTCAAGATTCCTGAACTAGCTTAACGTCACAAAAATGTTTGCTTCTAACGGTTGTCTCATTTGCTCTATTAGACGCGGAAGGAGAACCTTCAAAATGACGCTGATAATGCTTATAGGGGAACTTGCATTGGGAATGTTAGTATTCTGAAATCATATCAAACAATTCAAATTATGCTAACATTAACATTATCTAAATAACACATGCTATTTATTCAGAGTGTGGAGCCGGCAACTTTGGCGAGAACTGTTTACAGACATGTCACTGTGCTTTACCGGGATGTGACCAATTTAACGGGAGCTGTACACAGCCAGGATGTGAACCTGGATGGACAGGAATGGCTTGTGATAAGGGTACTTATTTATATGATAAAAAAGATTGGGCATTGAACAGTGTTTCCGTGTTTGTCATGACATGATCACGATGACTATATGAGTTTCAAAATCTAAATTAAATCATCCAGAAATGTGATGTACTCGTAGATAGATTTGTCGGCAAAATATTCTTTAAACATTAAACAAAAGTAAAAACAAAAGTTAAAAAAATAGATCCGATGTCAGATTGTCAATTTGTTTTAAGGGGTTCTTGAATGATATGGTTTTCCGAAAGACGTAATTAAAAAAAAAAATCCCATCAAAGAATGATCCATGGAATTTCATAATAAAACGAGTCCAGAAACAATTAAGTTAGCCACTCTGTGCTTTTTATTTATTAATAAACCTTTGAAATAGTTTATTATTGAGTATATTACAATAAGAAAAAAGAATTTGTTTATGAAACAACAGAAGAGGACATTCATAATACAATTGAAGGGGAAGTGGTGTGCTGCAAACGTACATATATACATGCAATATAAATTATTCAAAGGCCATTACAAATTTTGTTTAAAATTATACAGTAACGTATGACAATACTTTAGATTGCCCCGGGTAATATAAATTATCTACTAGGTGGAAGCAAGGGAGCAACTATGAAGCTCTTTGTTTCGTTTCTTTTATATTTAATCATCACAAGGAATTTGGATGTTATTTTTATATATATTCCACTTTGTTGTATTACTTGTAGCTATAATGTGAAGAATATGTACTTCACATGTCACATTCTTACAGTTTTTATGACATGATTTCAGTCTGTCTCACCGGATACTTTGGTGTGGACTGTAAAGAGATATGTCACTGTGAGATTCCTGGATGTAACAGAACGAATTGAGTGTGTATCAGGTCTGGTTGTGAGGCAGGATGGGAAGGACTGTCGTGCGACAAAGGTAATACAATCTTCATCATGTATAGTATATTCGTCGTTAATCGTTTGAAATGATAAATAGATAAAAAAAAAAAATTGTACTACACACATGTAACAATAAATGCAATCTGAAAGGCTTCTGTTTTTTAAAAGATACATATCAATCCGCTTTGCACATATTTCAAAAAAATGTCTATGCTTGGCTTGATAAATATTTTTTTATATATTTCAATGCAGCTATGTTTAACCAGTATTTAAATGAAATTGATAAATACGTTTTTTTCATCGATTTGGAATGAAAGCATGCGATATTGGTACATATGGCAAAGATTGTAAATCACTTCCAACTTCGCTACTCCCGGATGTGACATGACCAGCGGGAATTGTATCGTGTCCGGATGTGCGCTTGGATGGCAAGGACCTAATTGTAATAGAGATAATGGCAAATATATAGCAAAATCGATTTTTTAAGGAGAAAGCTCTCCATTGTTGCAGTGTGGTTTCCAATCCCGACATATGCTCTAAATGTAAAAATATCGTTTAAGTACGAATAAAGGAAGCGCTAATTGGATTTTTATCTTTAGATGTAGAAAAACAAACTAAGTTATTATTCATCATTTTATTTCACCATATCGCCATTTCGCCCACTTATGCCTCATTAATTAAACTGAAGTCCAACGAATGACAAATATATGTCTGAAAATGTTAAAGTGTTCCGAATACACCACAAAGGGGGAGGTGTCTATAAAATCCTTGATGACGTTACAAATGTTTAGCTACAACAAGTAAACTATACTCAATTTAGCATTACGTGTAAACCGTGTCAGAATAAATACCTGCAACAATGCTTCAGCCGATATCATTGCCAATTTCACAGAAAATTTGATTATTTATATTGTCTATCCAATTAGCTTGCAACATCAGTTCGTTTGGTAATAACTGTGATAACATATGTCACTGTACCAAACCCGGATGTGACAGATTCACCGGATTATGTAACGTGGCGGGATGTGATGTTGGCTGGACAGGTTCGGCATGTGACCAAGGTATTCAGATAAACGTTTTATTTACATACTCTTCGTATTAGCATACGTTCATTTGTATAAGCTCGATAAACGTGAGAGTATTGCAAACATATTAGTTTATGAGTTAGGAATAATCTACAGTCGATAAAACACCAAATGAAATTAGCAAGTCACGACCTGCAACATCTGACCGTGACATGTATAACAAATTCATAACACGAACCATTCAATGTAATTGATGTGAATGAGAATATACGTAATTTATAATGGCAATGTTGAGTGAGTGTATTAATGAATACAAGGGAAATTTAAACTTCTGTTTCAACTTGTAGATGTATGATTAGAAATCTCTTGGGTGTTTACAAATTTTGATACTTGAAAATCAAATATATCACCCTTATCAAATATTTAACTAGTAAACAATATTTATGACACCATAACAGAATAATGTTGCTAAAATCAGCATATTTATAGTACGAAAGAATAGCAAGTTACCGCATTAAAAAAACATTATTTTTTCCGAACACGTATAGGAACCCTAGCTGTCATATTGGAACTGCCATCCCGTTGTGTAACATGGATTTTATGTTGGTTAAATTGCAATTATACCAATTATTATATTGTATATTACTAGAGAACAAAATTGTCTCACAACACACTTCTTTATTGATCAGTATATCATATCGCTATAGCAGCAAGATAAAGTATTGATCATTTGTTATGCTTGTTTCGGTATAAATATGCTGGTGATTTAAGGCCGAGTTTACGATAATGTTCAGTTTTTATACAATGAATCTGTTAATGTATGTAATGTTTACATAGACAAACTTGTATAAAATAAACTGTTGTTTCTATTTATATTGTAGGCGTTAACATAAACAGTAAAGATAATTCGATGGTAAGTACAAATGAATTCAACGTTCGTCTTCCAATTTATACATGTTATGTTAATAAAATAGGAACCCTTTTACGCTCATTTTCACTTCACAAGATTGTTCCAAATATTAACAATTATCTCTCAAAATCTTTAATATGATATTTTTTTTAGGATTTTTACGGTCTTTCTCACTTCACAAGAATGTCCTAAATATTACAACTGATCTCTTGACATATTTACACTGATGTCAAAAACAGGATTAAATATACAAGGATATAACAAAGAGAGTGTGTATATATTTATGTAACGTTTCAATACAATTCCTTTCTCACGGAATACTTATTTGTTTAATTTTGTTTCAGAAATCAGGATCCGATGCTTTGGTAGGTTACATACTGTTTGGATCATTGCTGTTTATTTCCATCGGGTTCAACATAGGATTTATAATTGATCGTCTAAGGTATGACAACTTTGTATTTATTTAACCAACTTATTCGATGTTCTTGCTATCGTTAATATCTTTTATATAATATGCACAAACTATGTCTGGTTCAATATTGTTTTGTCAACTATATATGAACAGGTTGATTTGTACAAAATGAATATTTCTAGGTTAATAAGGTAACAGTCAATGTATACGTCTATTTTACTATAGTAAAGTTTTATGATATGATTTCACGCAAAATGAATCTTTCTATACAATTACAGATCCTTTAAAGGGGGAACAAATTTAAATTAAAACCCATTATTTTCAAATTCATGTTTCCAAGGAACTTTGCTTTAAAATAACTATTTAAATGAAACAAAATGAAAACTTGTAAAGCAGTATTTGGTACCTCTTATATGTACAAATGTTAACGATAATGAAATAAAACGTGACGTTGTACTTACAATACAAAGTAACGCCTTTTGACCTTACCAGTTGTCACCAAAGAGTATTCATATTTCTTTTTAAAAAGATAAAATCAGAAACACCTGAGTTAAAACGATATATTTTTAAATGGTCTATTACTTAAACATAAAGCACAAAGCTGCAGCAATATGTGAAAAATATTTGACTATAACACCAAATTTTGACAGTTTTTATTCAGTATCGTTTAACAATATCATAAATCCTTGCAAGTGTAAAGGTAAATAACTGTTATCGAATAATACGATAGAGCTTAGATATATAGACGACAAACATCATATTTTGTATCTTTATAGTTTCTTTTCATAAAAGCATTTAAATGTTAAACATTATGTTTATTTAACAAGAATTCCTTTCAATTGTAACATTTTATAATATATATGTAGTTCTAAGTAATTTATAATTGCCAAATTTGGTGTAATTTTTATTTATTGACATGCGAGTTTTGTATATAATGTACAACAAACTATATGCAATTTTCCAATCAATTATTTCGAAACATATTAATGGAAAAAATGTGTTATTTGTATATGATATATAAAATTCATGGATAGTACAGTATATATGTATGTAAGTTCACCTCAGTTGATACTTTCTAATGTTGGACATTCTTTATGTCTCCACTATTTTGATCCGCAAGTCGGAAGATAGACTGTTGTGAATACAACTCTGGTATAAACTTATTTATTTAAACAATAAGATACGTTAATAAAACAAAATAGTAATAAACAGTAGGTCTAGCATTTTTTTCACGACGAGTGTATTTTATGCGATGGGAGACAACTCGAACGACAATTCAATTACTAACTGAAAAATGGGGAATTGGAAAATTTAAAAGTAGTCCCATGGAAAAAACAGCCGTTCATACTAATATGAACAGCTGCTTTTGGGTCACATGTGCTACTATTAACCAATCACACAACCTTTAACAAAGCACACAACCAAGTTTGGAATTATGTATGAAATAATTATTTCAGAACCAAAAGGAAAAAGTCAGAACGTGCACAATCTGACAGCGAAATGCATTACCAGTGTAAGTATAATTTACATTGCATAATTAACACGAACACCATAATTGTAATGTATGAAGTTCGGAAATATTATTTACCATTAACAATGTTGATGCAATTCAAATCAATGATAAATAACGCGTGCGATATATATCTTAAAGCAAATAAGTTCATATTTATACTGCATCGTTTAATATTTACACTCGAGTTTATTTATGATAATCTCATTATTTTGTTTTCTTGTAGATACAGTTAATGTCAATGAGAACTATGAAATTCTTGACACATCGAAAATTGAACGAACAAAAAACATTTATGACACCGTAGACAAGAAGTGTGGCTAAAACGGCAAAGGAGATAATATTTACCTACAGATTAATAATCGACTCCTTTATACGTGTGTGATATATGTGAGAACAACTAACGCATTCAAACGTAATAACTTGGGTCACATCAAGCATGCGTTGGATAGAAATATCTGTTAACTTATAATACTAGCATTATACATATAATATATGACTCGGGAACAAAACTGTCGTCAACAACATTGTTATTTTGATCAGTAATAAGTCGAACTAACAAAACTGCGCCATTCATCTTAGGCATACATTTGAAGAAAAAAGATCCTGATAGAATAAAGCAAATATCAGAACGTCCGGCGATTATCCACGGCTACAAAATATCTTTAAAATTAATATAGATAGTGATATTGATGACAAAGTGCCATGACTTTCTTGAAATCATTCATAAAAATATGAGAAGATCTTATGAACACATTGTTTTGAGATTGAGGTCAAAGTGTATTATGAAACAGGAACAACATATATGACTGTTGTAAAACCTTGTAATTTAGTTTTATGATATCCATTTTGCGTTTGTATTAATTGTCGATAAAAGATTCATATCCAAAAATTACTTGTGTGTTGCAAATGCAAAATCTTGTTTGTTTGTTTGTTTGAGGGGTGTTATGTCCGACATTCGCTACCGAGTAGTTCTATCAAAATCATACAAAGCTATGGAAGATATGTAACCGCTGACTAGCATCTATATTTTGATGCTATTCTGATGGGTTTTTGATGAATAAAAAAACAAATGAACTATTCAATGCGAGTGAAAACAAAATCAACAAGAAAAAACTTTACCTTATAATAAAGGAACTTACTGGAAGATTTTCTTTATACTTTGACAGTAGAAATAAGTCCCTCTATTTTTTTTTAATCCAAAGTCATAAATACTCTACTGAAATGTAAATCGAAAGGGAGGACATTGTTACGAAAGTAGTCCGTGTTATCTTGAATACATTTGTAAAATGAAAATCATCTCATCTCTAACATAGCATCGTTTATGTAATCATGACACAAACGGCATATTTTAAACGCTTAAGGTTGTCCGTCGACTGCTGACAGACCAACGTATAACACATGGTTTCCGTGATAGATGTCGACTGCTGACAGACCAACGTATAATACATGGTTTCCGTGATAGATGTCGACTGCTAACAGACCAACGTATACCACATGGTTTCCGTGATAGATGTCGACTGCTGACAGACCATCGTATAACACATGGTTTCCGTGATAGATGTTGATGAAGACTATGGACAAGGTCTATGGTTTCGCAAGGGAAATGTGCTCTTTTTTGTTTTTGTTTTTGTTTTTATTATTATGCTCATTGGAATGCATTGTGGTTTTGTTGTTAATACCTGAGTTCTCGATGTGAGGAAGTGGTATTAAATGTATTCGACTTTACATGCCGTGTGTCGTCGATGAAGCACTTACCCTTCCGGAACACCTGGGAGTATTCTCTTTTCAAGTATCTCCATGTCAATCTTTCATTTGAACATTATTTGCCCTAGCTTCAACGATTTTGAGTTCAAAAAATGGTATTGTTAACATTTTGTGTTCTCTAATTGTTTCTTTACCATCTAATATTGATATGTTTAAAAAATAAGCAATACCAGCTTTAATTGTTCAGAACGAGAACGAAAGTGACGGCAAATGTCATCTTGAACCAATTATGAATTATCTTGTCTAATATGGAAAGTAAGCAATGTTTTGGTTATGTAATGCGTGGAGAATTAGAAAATAATACGTGCCACTGCGTTAACGGTGTTATATCGAACATTAATTCCAAATGTTGTACAAATATACTTTGTAAAGATCCATTTGTTACCGTAGCACCAATGATGAGTTGAGTCATGCATTGTCGAAATAAACATATATATTGTACAGTTAATGTTGATTTGTTTGGCTTTCTGCAATAATAAATTAAATATTTTAATAATCGTTTTCTTACTACGTATTACTTGTGATAATATTACGTTACAATCGTACAATGTTACAAGACTCTGAGGTTGGCCGAAACATTGTACCTGGAATTTGTTCTTGCACGGTTTGCATAATGGTGAGAAAATGAACTATCAATTGTAGCCAAAAGGCATTCATTTCAAAATCAACACTTCGGAACAAACGGATTTTCATTCATTTGACCTTTACTACATCTGATGAATTCTAAATGGACGACATAGCCATATTGGACAGTTGTTGCTTACGTTGTATGGAATTGATAATTTCTTTTCTATACACAACTATTTACAATTGCCGTGTTTTCACAAATGTGCAATCGACGTCAAGAATGCTACAATGGAACTATATAACATGATATCTCACAAGAAATACCGATTTGAATTGCAGCTTTGGTCAGCTGTTTATTATCCGCCACGTCGGCTAAGCTGCATCACATTAAAACTAAAATTCTACATCCGCAGTAAAGTTTTGTGTTTCTGTAATTGTTGCGTAGATACTATGGTTTCTTAATAATTATTATAAATCTTTGTAGTACACATTGTTATATTTTTATAATGCATTTCTTTTCCATTAACTTTATATTATAACGAAGTTGCAAAAGAGGAACTATTTTGTTTTGTTTCGAAGGGAAAAAGTGGGCAGAGTCTACCTGTCTGAACAGCTGTTCCCGTAATCAACCGAATGATTCGTCACTTTCATTCAAATTTAATTACAATTGAAATGGTGTAACTAACGGCTCTCTTTATGAATTATGCTTGAAGGTATATAATTATAGATAAAAGGATTACCATGTTTACTACACTTTTTTATGAGGTAATAAATGAAGTAGAGTGCGCTGTAAATTACACATGAACGCAAATTACAGCGTGCTCTTCTTGATTTATTTCCTCATAAACAAAGATAGGTTAAAAGTAAATCCTGAAATAAAAAAGGTAAGCACCCCCTGGTATATTGAGCACTAATATTTTACCTTAAGTATCAGTTTTAATGCAAATATTGATTATAACGAGAGCAATGTCCCATTAAAAAGATGTGAGGATACAGGTGTGACTGTAAGGTACGATATCGACGTAGTATGCACGTGAACCAAGCCTCCCATGCGTAACCCTAAATTCAGTACGCGTGCGCTTCAAATTTGGCTATTCCAGTCCGGTGTTTTTACAAACATATTCATTACAAGTAAACATGGTATGCAGGCAAATATCAGAAACGCAAAGATGGCAAATAATCGGCATGTACTCAACAGGAATGTCCTTCAAAGCTTCAGATAGGCTATCACTATAAGCCGACTAGTACAAAAATACACCCAAACCAACTTTATCCGCGAGACCATCTGTAACGACGCAGCATGAAGACAGTGTACTGCATCGCTTGATAAGGCGGATGCCATTCGCAACAGGCCCAGTTCTTAAACGCCAATGGCTACCCAATAGACGTTTTTCTGCAAGAACATTGAGGAACCGTTTGAAGTCAGCGGATTAGAGTCAATAAATCGTTCCATGCTAGCAGACCGACATTCACGATGTTTAGTGTGATGTGGTTGGATTTCGAGGACCTGGCGAAGGATTTATTGGTCAGAGTAGAGCCGTTTCCTGTTTCATGTCACCGATGGACAAATGAGAGTTTGGTGACAGAAAAGTACGGCGTATACCTAAGGAAATCTAGCCAACTGCCCCTTACGGTGGAGGCTATGTAATGATTTGGGGGTGTATCTCTCATGATTGTAAGTAGGACTTGGTTACCATACGAGGAAATCTAGCAGGTGATCAGTACATCAGAGACGTCTTACAACCAGTTGTTGTCCCCCTTTTGACAACCAAACGCTAGCAGCAAAGGCATATGTTAACAGATGACAGTGCTAGACCTCATCGTTTAATAACATTTACTGCCTACCTTTAAAGCGAAGCCAGACATCTTTTCTGTGGTCTGCCATGAGCCCAGATTTAAGTTCGATAAATCATGTTTGGGACATGATATGACGTAGTATATAGTCATCTGTACAAAACCTCCGTGTACTGGAGGCAGCATTGCACCGATATTGTTGGGGGCTACCACAGAAGGACATCCGACGTCAGACTGAAGGTATGAGACGTATAGTCCAAACACGTGGTGGTTACACTCGATACCGAATGTTTGAGCCACTATGTTGTTTAACGTGAAAAGTACAATAGAAACGTGATTTATGAACTGTTAAGATCAGTTCTTAAAATTGGCCTTTTTGACATTATATTAATTAAATTATCATTTCTGTTGATATTTGGTGTGTTTTCTTACAGCCAATGCGGTGACTAAACAGGTCACATTTCGTTTCCTTGGTTATTTGGTCAGTAATATCATGACACAAATTCGATCAATTGTCAATAAAAAAAACAACTAATCAATAAAAAAGCATTTGTTATTATCAAATGTACAAATTGCCCTTCATACAAGTACCTGTCTTGAAGTATAAGAAAAGCGCTACAGTATTTTCTGATGTACCGAGGAAAATGTTCAGTTAACTATTATTTTAAAACGCACTATTTAACTGGTATGTGTAATTTAATATGGTATTTTTTCCATGTTAAATAAAGCATGATATTGAATTGGTTTTCCTCATACATGTAGTTCAAAATGAAGCTTTCTAAAAGTTTTGATTCATTCACAGAGCTTAGGACAGAGTTTTCAAATGTACTTAGGTCTTATTGTTTGAGTAATTGACATTGTAATTGTTTTCAAAGTGAGCAGAATGAATTGATTACATTTCTGTGATAGTGTTAATTGCTCTATATAGCTTACCAGTTTATACCTGATTGTTTAAAGTCGATCAAGGACGTTTCTCACATGCCCCGTCGGGAAACGCACGAGGTTTCTGGTTTTGATCGAAGTAATTTCCTCGTTACGTATAACACTTGTTTTGCTCCAGGTTCCTCATATTGTGCCTTCCAATCTGTACCATCAATCTAATATAATTGTTCTTACTGAGATAGGTTTTATGTCATCTGAATGAAAGTCTCAGTCCTATGTATACGACTGCAAACACCTTATGAACATCGCCGTGATTTGTCCTACATGCGCCTATAAACAAGTTCGATATTCGCCGTTTTTCTCAAAACCAGTGTCAATTTAAACAGACTTTTGCAAATAGCTTTTGATGATTTTACCCTATGAGTAAGTGTATAGTTTTCAGTCCATTTTAGCAAGATAAATGAAGCACTTTAAAAGAACTGTTCAACGCATTTAAGGAAATAATTTTCACGTTTAAACGAGGTAAGTATCATGTTAGATAACGGAAGTATTTTAACGAGATCTTTATCCAGATTGATATCGCTAGGCCTCCGTACTATTGTTTTATAAAATCTAATCTTTCAGTATTTTTTATGTCCCTAGAATGAGATATCAACGTACGAATACCTGTTTTATGAGACAAACATTTACTTGTTGCTATATATTTGTAGAATATCTATCTATTTCATTTACTTTACAATACAAATATATTTGACACCAAAATGCAGCTTGATGATAATGTGTTGTTTTTTTGTCTAATGCTACACACTGTTTTTATTTCGTATTGATTTTAAACACATATA